GGGGGTGGTGGTGGTGTACCTTACTCTGATTTTGTTGGTTTCTTTCCTATCTTCCATTCCGTGAGGAATTCTGATGTGACCCTCAGCCAAAAATCGTTTGTATTGCAATGAACCCTGCCCGGGGTTCATGGCCGGCCGGGCCCCCTGGCGCGGGAATCGGGGCACAAGTTGGGTGGCGGGGCGCCTGGACAAACAACCTAGTTCAGAACTTGAAAAACATTTTTGTCAAAGACCTCAGAAATCGCAAAGATTCGAGAAATTGCAAACAGAATTGCAGATCAAACCAAATGCTCACACACGCACGCATAGCGTGAAGAAACCCCAGACACCTCGAAAAGTCAGCAATTATCGCACAACACTTGCCCCACCGTAGAGATAGGAATACGAGTACAGTGGGATGCTGCCACTGCAAGGTCTCTGGCAAACACAACAATGACAGATCGCTCGCTTACCTGAAAAACAGAAGGCTTATTCAAATCAACTTCAAAGTTGTTGCGGTTGCATACTGCATCTGAACCACCACCACCAGTCATGTCGTCGCCACAAGGTGTCTCTCTCAACGTCTTATCGCAAAACACCCTATATCAACGACGAATCGAAATACAATGACAAACGAAAAAAAACAAAAAATACAATGACAAATCGAAATACAACTAATCAGCATGACATTCAACGCAAGACATAAGACATTCAACGCAAGACATAAGACATTCAATGCAATTGCGAAACTTCTGGTCAACTAAATATCCTGCGATCGCCACACCTTTGGGACTTCATATTGTATTATGTTCTGGTTATGGTTCCCCTTCTGGTCCCAGCTTCAGTTCCAGGTTTGCCCTGGTATTCGTTCCGGTTCTGGTTTTGGTTTAGGGTTCCGCGGTTCGGGGTCAGCTTCTGGGTTATATATAGCTTTGGGTATGGTGTGTTTGTCGTGAACAATTGTGTACTGGTTCTGGTCCACTTCTGGCTACAGTTCCGGTTCGGATTTCGGTTTATGGTTCAGGTGTTCTGGTTCTGGTTCTGGTTCTGGCTCTGGTCCGGTTCTCGGTTATAGCTCTGGATAAGGTGTGTTTGTCGTGAACAGGTGTTTTACGGCCTCTGGTCCACTTCTGGGTACGCTTCTTTTCTGGTTTCGGTTTATGTCTGGTTCCGGTTCTGAGTTATGGCTTTGATTATCAAGTGGTGGTCATGAAAAGGAGTGTACTGATTCTGGTCCACTTCTGGTTATGGTTCCGGTTCTACTTTCGGTTTATGGTTGTGGGGTTCTGATTCTGGTTCTGGTTCTGTGTTACAGTTTTGGTTATGCTGTGGTTATCGTGAACAGGTGCATAGTGGTTCTGGTCTACTTCTGGTTATTGCAATCAGACTCGGCTTATTCACACTTCATCATGCATGCAAACAGCGGTACAGCACACTGACGACATGCGCCCACACAGTACTCAAAGATATCGTGCCCAGATAAGAGTTCTCTTCCAACTGGCTATGACGACTGCGCGCCCACACAACTCACTGTTCGCACTCTGGATCACCCTGGATGTCCCACACGCAACACTCAGTCTCCATACGCAACACACACACACACTATGCTACAGCTATGGCAGCGCTAGCTGCCACTACCCTATCGCTACACTACACCTCTCTGCCCACTTCGTCTTCGGGCGCACTGCAGACCTCCTCGCACAAGCTGCTGAGGCAGCGCTTCCGCATGGCATCCGCAGGAATGAATGAATGGCTGGACGCAGCCTCTTGATTTATACWTCTGCRCTGCGTTGGTCTGCYCTGTGTCCCTTGGCCCTTGGTGCRCACAGTCCCAGACGGTACTTGCTGGACAGGACCGGACTGACTAACTGGGACTGTTGACTCASCGAGGTGGCCTACCACCACTTGACCACTTGCCTCTGTTGAACGCAGGCTAACTCCRAAAGGCCACTTCTAGAAGTCTCTAACTTGGCCTTTCGGTACTGTAGCAKCTACGACTTYGCCCTTTCAGGTAAGTAGCAGCTACGACCTTGACCCTTCAGGCATCCTACAACTACGACTTCGGAACCATCTAGACTCCTACTCTACAGGTCTACAGTTMGATTCCCTTCTACCCTGGGACCTACGACAATCTACCTACCACTGGCGTTCCTACAGGTCGCGGGTTCAAGTCTACAGGTTAACACTGATACTGTACACGGGTAAGACGGGGAACTAGGGATCGAGCCCTGGGATCTGCATTCGCTACTGCAACTGGTGAATACCGTTTCACTCCCGCCGGCCTAAATTCGAGGTCCTCCGAGAAAATTTCAGTCCAAGGCAGGACCTTTACCCTTCTGCYGTCTCTCGTAGGCCCGGACTATATCGGGAGCTGTCTCTAGAAGTTCAGACCTTGTAAACCAGCGGTCGTCTTCCGGTTCCTGATAACTAAAATGAACCTTGTACTGTTTCTGTGGACGACCCCTACCTCCAGTTCTGAATACATCTTCAACAACTATGCCATCGATGTCATACCTTCCATCCATATCGGGCAGAATCATAGATCTACGGGATGAAAACTGATCACTTGTTTGACAAGGTAACAACTTCGATGCATGGAAAACTGGGTAAGTATGGAGGTGTGCTGGGAGTTCTATCGTATAGGACGGTCCATCTTCGCCGCCCTTGACTTCCAGAACAGGCCACGGTCCTCTATATGTGGGCAGTAACTTTTGCGAGATGTTCTCCTCAGRCGCAAACTCTYTAGAACTGACCCAGACYAAGTCGCCTACTTGAAACTGTGAAGGGCRACGAWKTTTGTTCGCCTGCTCTATCATCCTATGCTGGGCTTTCCTGAGGTTCTCTACRACAGTAGCTAGTTCTTTCTCGTGCTGTATAGCAAACTCCCTGGTCCCGGGCGGCAATCTGTGAATYTGATCCCGGTTGAGTCCCTCRAACGGTCTGCGCGGTCTAAAGGACTTGTGCAGTTCGTTGGGAGTGYGGCAGGTGGCTAGATGCACGCTGTTGTTGTACGYRCTARCKACTTTAGGCAGCATCTCATCCCAGTTAATCTGATCTGGCCTAATGTACATGCGCARAACTTGCTGTAGGATCTTGTTCRTTTGTTCYGTCTSAYCGTTAGTCTCTGGATGACGGCCGGACGACATCAACAACTTAGATCCGTATACTCCCAYGAGTTCTTGCCAGTTCTGGCTAGTAAAGCGACTATCTCTATCGCTAACTATAGACAGTGGGACTCCATTCTCGCTTACCCAACAGTCAAAGAATCTYTGTAYGACTAMATCAGTRCGTGCCTCTGAAGGCAAAGGAACAAAAACTKYGTACTTGCTAAASCGGTCAACTATGACCATGACTTGGCTCTTGCCATGCCTGCTTTTGACGTGAGTGTCCATGAAGTCTATGGACACCGAGTCTCCTGGCTGGTCTGGAATCGGTAAGGGCCTGAGAAGACCTAACGGCGCTCGCGTGCGACTCTTATTACGCTGGCAAACCTTACAACTGCGAACATACTCTACGCAGTCATTCTTCATCCCTGGCCAGGTGTATGCGCGCATCAGGTTGGCTAAAGTCTTCTGCCAACCAAAATGACCCTCCGTGTCATGGCATTCTCCCAAAATCAGGCTATGAATCTCTTCGCTATTGGGGATGCACAGGCGGTCAAATACATTAGTCTTCTAAAAAAGCAACCCTTCAGTAGTGCGGTAGTTCGGTTCAGTCTCTGGGGCCTCCTTGACCTTCTTAAGGAGCTCACTATAGATAGGGTCCTGCGCGTAGGCTTCTCTAACCTTCTGCTGCAGATCCTTCCCTATATCGAGGTAGTGCACTATTGCCCCAAAGTAATCTGCCCTCCTACTCAGAGCATCCGCGACTACATTGTACTTCCCTTTGACAGGCTTGAGCTCGAAGTCGTACTGATCTATCTCGGCGGCCCACCTAGTAAGCTTAGGTGTCATCTTGGCATGTGTCTTCAACCATCGTAACGTTTCATGGTCAGAATAGAAGTGCCTCCCAAGCAAGTAGTGCTTCCAGTGGTCTAAAGCTTGCCTGAGAGCGTAGAGTTCCCTCTCATAGGTCCATGTCGCGACCTTCTCTGAAGGCATCCTGGCGGACATGAACTCTACGGGTCTATACCCATTGCCATCGTCTTGTTGTAACACTGCACCTATGCCGTATTGACTAGCATCGGTCGTGACGACAAAAGGCAAGGACGGATCGGCGACTTTAAGGACTGGATACTCTATCAAGGTCTGCTTCACTTTCTTCATGGCAGACGTACAGTCCTTGTCCCACTTCCAGATGGTCTCCTTTCTCAACAGTTTGCGAAGGGGTGCAGCGATGGTGGAGAAGTTCCTCACGAACTTCCTATAGTAATTAGCTAAGCCCAGGAACGAACGCAACTCTGTCAGCATACGTGGCGTGGGCCAATCTCTAATCGCTGCGATCTTGCTATCTTCTGGCTTAACGCAGTCTCCGTCTAAGACGTGGCCTTAAGTACAAAACTTGGGTTTTCGCCCAATCGCACTTCTTTGCATTGATCTTGAAGTTAGCTTCCCTCAGCTTCTCCAAGACCTGCCTGAGATGACCTTGGTGCTCTTCGAGGGTCCTACTAAATACTAAAATGTCATCTAGATAAACTACAACAAATTTGTCTAACCACGGCCTAAACAAATCGTTCATACAGCGCTGGAACGTAGCTGGCGCATTGGTTAGTCCAAAGGGCATCACTATGAACTCGTAGTGCCCATATCTAGTCCAGAAGGCTGTCTTGTACTGATCATCAGGATGCACCTCTATCTGATGATATCCGGACTTCAAATCTAGCTTGGAGAAATACTTCGCCCCCTGCACTCGATCTAAGAGATCGTCTATCCTAGGCAGTGGCTCAGCATTCTTCACTGTAATGGCATTCAGACCCCTATATTCTTAGGGACAACGAGAACAGGCGCTCCGAACGGAGACGAACTGGGCCTAATCCAACCCTTCTCGAGGAGCTCGTCTAATTCCTTGCGAAGCTCCTCTAACTCCCGTGGGGACATCCTATACACAGCGCCCTTAGGAGTTTTACTGTCGGGCTCTATCTCAATGCGATGCTGGATGGGTCGCGGTACCACTCCTATCGGCGGCTCAGTTAGATCCTTGAACTCTTCCAGCAGCTTGGCAATCGCAGGGTCCATCGGCTTTTCTTCCGTAGGCTCAGTCACTGGCCTAACATAGGCAACAAGAACCTGTTCCTCCAACTTCTCCTTTTTCACCAGTCTAGCGAACGCGGGGGCACTAAAGCAGCAATGCGCCAAGGAATTCTCTACCCCTGACACATGGAACAGGCGGGCAGTCTTGGCCTCACCTGCAGAACTAGGGAGCCTACACTCGTGCTCCTTCAAATGGAGTGTGGCCCCGGCTGCCTCTCCCCAATCCATTCCCAGCACAATATCAAAGGGGAGGCTGTCCTCTACGAGGAGAGTCAGGGAGTGGAGAATCCTTTCCACTTTTCCATCTTTCTCTAGGCGGAAATACGCCTGGACTCCCTCTACATACTCCTCTACAATCATAGTACGATTGTCTGCGAGGATACTAACTATAGGGTCTGCTAGCTTTTGGAC